GTGTGGAAAAAAACGTAATTATGTTTTAAGTATGTTTTAATAACTTCAAATTTAAAGTGGGATAAAGAAAACGACGTACATCTAAGTGTATTGAAAACTCATATAACCAATAAAATTACTGTCATTGCTGTAAGCATGATCATATGATCATCTTGATCAATGCTTAACGAAAGCTTGATGGAAATATATTCATAAAATGAGTGGATTGAAATTCAAATACTATAAATAAATCCTCTATCGAAAATTAAAGCGGAAAATGCTATTAAATCATCAATATTTATATTCCTGGAGTTAAAGAAAACAGTCTGATTCCAATTGATATATCTTATACTTTAAGAGAAGTAGTAAGAGTACTCCGAAAAAATAAATAAATCTGCATAAATGTATATCTGGTTTATTTAAAAAAGTTTTTTATTTATATGCTCAATATGAATTAATTATAAACAATTTTAATTAATAAATTTATATATATTATTATTTTGCAATTATTTTATCATTATTTTAGCTTCATATTTTTACTATCGATAAGTAGAAGTAGATAAGTAACATAGTACTCTGTAGAAGCAACTGCTTGGGTTTGCTACAGGGTTCGTATTTCACTCATGAGCAGCTCAGGCTCACGAGCGTGAGCCCATTTATAACTTAATGGCGGCTCTTGCTCGTGAGCGTGAGCTCGTAATTGGGCTCGCTCATGAGCGTGACCCATCGTATGAAAAGAGTTTTTTGCCGGCTCATGAGCCGTGAGCAGAATGAGCCAAAATGAGCCGCTCGTGGGTACACAATTACGAACTCTGGTTTGCATTGTTAAAGTTACCAAGAAAATACAGTATAAAACTTTAAATGTTATTAATTAATAAATTAATATATTTTTAGTGGAACCAACTAATTGTATTATTCCTAAATACTATGAAATCTTTTGAGGATTACAATGAATAGAATTAAATAATGGAACTTAAATAGTTGCATATGAATGTCAAGAATTTAAAAAACAACATTTGAATGTAATACAGGCATGTAACTGGCGGGGAGCTTGAGGAGCTGAAGTCACAACTCTCAAAATAAATCAACTATAATTATACACATATATATCCATTATTAATTAGCATTAATTGTTTAATAAAATAAGTTTTTTTTTAAATTAGAAAAATATGAATTTCTGACTATAGACCTGATGGAATGTAAAATCGTCTACTTATATCTAAAAATTATTTAGAAATAGAAATCCATTTTTTTTCAGCATTAATTAAGACAATTTTTTTTTTAAATTACAATAATTTGAAAACCCCTGAAATAGATTTACAAAATATTTACAAATAGGTAGATGTATAATATACGAAGTTGGCCGCACATTCATACGTTGCATACACGGTTGCCACTTGAAAATTTTTTTCTGTACCAAAATTGGTTTAAAAAGGTACCATTTCTGTAAAAAAAGGTCCAAAATTTTTCTATTGTCTTTTTATAAGAAAATACAATTTATATAAAATGTACAAAAAGTATAAAACAATACAATATCCACAATAAAGTTGGGTCGCCGAAAATGTACCATTTTTTGAACATGAGTACCAGAGTACCAAACGGAAAAAAAGTACCAATTTTGGTACTAAAGTACCATAAGTGGCAACCGTGGTTCCAAATAAAAAAAA